AGAGTTTTTTCCCGAATGCCATCACTCTGCTAAACAAATAATTCCCTCAACGCTATCCAACTCTTTACAAAGTCTGCACTACTATTACTATTAATTTTCTCATCACTCCTTATCACCCATCCCCTCCCACTTGTGACTGTATGACTGTAACTTTGTTGCTTGTATCCTTACGATTTATATTGACTGTTTCCTAGTATGATTTGATTGCTTATTGTACCCTATGACTATCATTAAGTGTTGTACCTTATGATTCTTGACTCTTGATAATGTATCTTTTCTTTTATGTACACTGAGAGCATTTGCACCAATCCCACTTGGCCAATAAAGAATTCTGTTCTGTTCTGTTCTGTTCTGTTCTGTTCTATTCTATTCTATTCTATTCTATTCTATTCTATTATTCTATTCTATTCTATTCTATTCTATTCTATTATTCTATTCTATTCTAGACTGTTCAAAGTTACAACAGCAAGGAAAACAGTGGCCCCTTTTCACACTTAGGACCGTTGCCGCATCCTTGTAGTCATGGGATCAAAATTCAGACACTTGGCAACTGGTTCAAATTGGTAACGCAGTGTCCTAGGGTCATGTGATCCACTTGTTGGAAGAAATATCCTTCTGGGTTCGGGTCCAAGTGGGGGAAAAGACACTGGAAACATGGAGGCTGTTTGGAAAGATGGTTTAATGGTGGACAGGACCTCACGGCTTGGAGCTCCAAAGTGAAAAAAACGATCACATGCTTCAAGGTGTTGGTTGAAGGGAAAGAAGGGCCAAGATGCTGAGAGACCCTTAGTTATATACCCTCTGTTGGGCCTCCCCTTAGTGTTTCCTGTTTTGTATAAGAAATGTATCCCATTGGCTGTTAGATTCCCGGGGCGGGTCTTAGCTAACTTTGTAGGCTTTGTCTGGACCACATGGCTTCACCTGAGTGCTGGCTGATGCAATCTTCCCAGGCCAGGTGGTAAGATGGGTAGAGGGCTTTGTTATGTAGAATACTCTGGCCCAGGCCTTAACAAAGGTGGGAGTGAGCTTCTGTTTCTGAGGTGAGTTTCTGTTTCTGAGTTTCTACTTCTCTCTTTAGGGAAAATATTCTGCCTTTTTAGTATATCCTAAAATATTTCATTTTCCTAGGAGAGGGGCGGGTGCTAACTTCCTACACCCTTTTGCGAACTTCTGACTAGCAAAGTCAATGGGGAAGCCAGATTCATCGATGAAACATTTTTACTAAATTAAATTGCAATGATTCGCTTAACAACAGCGGCTAGAAAAGTCATAAAATGGGGCAACATTCACTTAACAAAATGTTTCAGAAACATACATTTTTGGTCGTAAGTCGAGGATTACCTGTGTAATGTGTTAAAAACCTCACTGGGTTTGTTTACCTCCATCCCTTCCTGCAGCTATTCTAATCTGACCTTAATATAACACGAGAAATCCAGGAAGACTTACCAGAAAAGGTGGTTTTTCTGTTTCTTTCTTGATGAGGTTTGTCAGGTGGCTGCATCTGCTTTGATTCTCCTGCATCTATTTCCAGGTTGGAGAAAAGTACCTGGACTTGCTATAAAAATAAACACGAAAGCAAAATACACATAGCTATAATTATATCAAGTCCCCAGTTCAAATCAGCTGTCTGCAAGGAATATAAATCCTTCCATTCCCCACCATCCTGTCAGAACTGAAGAAGCTTCTTGGATGAGAAGCGAAACGTCTTCAAAAGAAAAAACAAGAAAGTCCAGTTGCTTCCTTTAAAAAAAAAAAAAAACCGAGGTAGAACCTAAGGCCAGGTGTGGCCATCAAGCCCCATTTCTGCTCTTGCAACCTGGCAAATGAGCGCCCCTGGAAGATATTTTAAGCGGAGAAAGCAAAAACAAGAGAGGTGGAAAACTGTACGTATGGAGAGCAAGTCTGAGGTTCATGAAGAGAGAGGGACCTGCTGATACAAGGCAAACCAGGGATCCAGCCACTCCTGCGAACTTCAAGGGCGAGGCCGATGGCAAGGTTTCCCTTCCATTTTGCAGCACACACACCCAAATCCAACCTGCCTTCCCACTCCAATCCCCTTCCCCGATTTCAATCTCACGTCCGTCGAGCTCTAGCCCAGAGGTCTCCAAACTTGGCAACTTCGCTTGTATACTTACGATTTATATTGTCTGTTTCCTAGTATGATTTGCTTATTGTACTCTATGACGATCATTAAGTGTCATCATAACTTATGATTCTCGACTCTTGATGAATGTATCTTTT